ATGGGACTTCTTCGGCGCCCAAAATGCAACCCTGGTACATGGGGGTTGATTCATATTCAAGGCCCCCAGTTTTCACCATGGGTTACTTTTCCCATGTGGGTGAAATATCCTGGTCTTCCAAAAAATGGTCATCCCATGTAAAGGACCTTTTGATCAACCCTCACATGGAAACATTGACACGCATCTGCGGTCCGTTGGTTCTTGAACATTTTGAGCCATTCATGGAGGATTTTGCGAGGCCGCGGTATGATTTTAAAGGGGAAGCGAAAAGGACAACCGCCCATTTTGCGGCATACTCAGGTTCTGCATAGGTCATTGAGATGAGGGATGGTCATTACATCCAGGGGTTTTGATACGACGAAAGTATTTGGCGGGCTTCGTGGGACCATGATGGTGCATGTTTTCAGGGTCTTGGGTATGACCAAATCGCAGAAGAGACCTTTTGGAAACAAATGGGATTTTGTAGGCCTTGTGGGGAAGTTGTGCCTCGAGGGACCTTGGGTTACATGGTTTTCCATTACAGAAGCTTAGACCTTCTTCTCAAGGGGAAGGGCAACCCAGTTTTGACCGTGGAGATGAAGATGGAAAGCCTTCACCCGATCTTGAGGAGAGGGTCTTCTCGGCCTCGCAGCTGACACCGGCAAGGCAAAGTGGCGTGCGTGCGAAAGCGCTTGCTTGCTTGGGCCTTTCTTGCCTTGTGCCATGGCTTCTGTTTCCCTTAGTGTCACCTTCTGTCCCAAACCCACGTGGCAGATCCTGGTGCTGTGGAGACCTCAAGATCCCGAGGAGCGCAGAGTGGAGGGGGCCCGCCGGACCGGGAGCTTTTGTTTCGCTTCGGCTCGGACGGCTCGCAGGAGGCCAAGGCGAGCGTTTTGACCACGCTGTGGGATGAGCATCAAGAGGCCACGCGAAGGGTGAAGCCTCACCGAACCGTAAAGGGAAGAACCTCGGGACTCACCAAATTGCCGTTAGGAAACAGGGATCTCGACAAAAAAGCGAGGTTATTCGATCACGCGATAAATGGGTTCGTCTTGTTGTGTGCCCTCCTTGGGGGGTTGGTTTACAGGACAGCTGTTTCGGAAAATCACTAATTTGGGGGTTGAACCTTGAAGAGACGCCCACGTATTGACTGCGATGCAAGACGTGGCCAGGTTCCTCAAACCTTTCGCCTGGAGTTCGGGCCTTCCAGGTGTGGCGTTCAGGTTCCGAGTGTGCGCTTGCGCTTTGCAGCGTGCGCTCGTGTTCCTTGCTTGGTGACATACCCTCCCACCAACTAACATGGAAGCGCACAAAGACCCTTTCCAAGAGGAAAGTAGTCTTTCCACAAGGGTCTGTGCACTTCCACGTTAGTGGGTGGTAGGGTAGTAGTCAGGGGAAGAACCCAAGACATCATTTGTTTGGTTTTCAAGCCGCCGCCTGCAAGTGCTTGAGCAAAGTAGCTGCAGTCCCAAGCTGCTGATCGGCGTGCCAAGCAGCGATTCAACCCTTTCGGGGCCAAGTGCAGTCGGAGTCTTGGCAGACGGGTGCTGGGGTTTCAGGTGTGATGTCTTCCGCATGCAGGGGAACGCAGTCGACACATATTATACTGACATTTGCATCTTGATATGCGTGTGGATCTCTCAATCTTTCTATCTACATAACTGCTTCCACCAATGTAGACTGCACATAGGCACACCCACACATAACACATGTAGATACGTCCACACAATATGCACCAGCACGTGTACACAGTTGGTGGTGGCAACCATCTCTGCGGCAACAAACATGTTGCTTTGACTCGGTAGTTGGAGTCGAATATTTTGCTGAGATCACGTTCCTGGGCTCCATCTTGACTCGCCGCTTGCTGCCGAACTGGCCCGCCACTTTTCTTTTAATCAATGCCGCACTCAAAAGGTGCAGCTTTCTTTGGTGTTCAGGCTTTTCGCTTGCACAGGTACGTCTCCATGCGAGCCATTGGTTTAAGCTATGGGAAGGCGTGTCGACTTCCTATAGCTCGCAGCTTTTCTCGTGCTTCGGTGCAGTTCTGGCGCACCGGGCAGGAGAGCCCATCGATCAAAATGAGCTTCGACTTCAATTCGGAGCCATCCTTAGACTACGGGCGGATTCGGGGCAAACATGCAGGTGAAGATAAAAGCCATCCAACACGCCTGTTTGCACTTTTTTGGGGCATCTACAGTAGCAGTGGCTTGCGTATCAAGCTGGTTGCAATGGTGTGCGTGCATCTTCCAAGGAGCTGGCTTTCGGTGCTGCAGCTCTTCTGGACTCAGGCAAGTCGAAGTTGCGGGCTTTCAGACACGAAGCTTCAGTTTCATTTTTTGGGATCAACCCAAGGTAGACTTGAACCCAGGGGTTTGCTCTCCTTTTGGATAACTTTTCGACCATGGGAATCGGAAGGTCTACCTTAGGCTGATCGCATGGGAACCCTGCTCAGGTGCCACGGCCATTCGATTAGGCCCGGCCATGGGCGCTGAACTTTCTTGTGGGAAATGCCAGACGCAGGTACTGGCCTGTGGGAGCGAATCTTGCTGGGCATGCCCAACGGCGCCTCCCTCGCGCTGTGAGGTGGTTGCTCTGTTGTTTGCTGCCCTTGTCTCTTTGCTTCTCTCCCCTAGCAAAGAGTAGCCACTTCTCAAGCGCTAGCTCCCTCTTGTCCACGGTGAGATGTTGTTAGCAGGCGAACCACTTTCTGGTTCGCGTGAGAGTGACTTTTCTTCGTGCTTCCGCCTGAATGAGGTTGCCGCCAGGGCGATTCTGGCGAGATTGGATGCCCTTGTCAGGATCGGGTGCAGAGAGCGGGGGAAAGGAATGAGCACGGCGCGTGAACTTTCATGGGCCGTCCTAATCGAATTACGGGACCCCAAAATGTCGGACGCCTTAGTCTCGCGTTTTGTAGGCATGCAACTTGCGCTCCTGGTTCTTGAATACTCGACTCAGAGCTCACCTGAGCCACAATCAAAACCCGGGTAGATGAAGGTTAGTAAGGGACGATCCCAACCATAAAATAGCTGCGGCCGCCTTCTTAATCCTGTACATGGTTCTGGGATTACGACCATTTTAGTACCAGGTTTTGATTGCGACTCACCTCGAATTGTGAAGGCAGAGCTTCCTACGATCTCCATCAGCTTTGAGGCTGGAAGCAAAGCATGCCGCATGGCCATGTTCTTTGGTTCGCTCGGAGTGCCGGACAGACCATGGCCACCTTCCGGATACTTGGCCTGGACTCCGGAGCCGACGTGATCGTCTGCATTCCTCCGAGCGCCTATGCGGGGCACCCAAGCTCAAGCTCCATGCCGCCTGGGACATGGGGAGTTCGGAACCCGTCACCTTCCGCGCTATGAAGGGAGCCCCCCGGCCAACCCCGGCAAAGCGATCGGTTTTGACCCATGCCCCGCAGTACAGGGCTGGGTCTGTCTTTTTAGGAGTTGGTCGCCTTTTTGGCAGGCTTTAAAGGGAAACCAAGGGGACACCACCGGTTGAGGGGTCCCCATTTGGGTGTTTTTTTTCGGGTACTGGTTCAAAAACCCGGATCCCTTTGGGGGGTCTACAAACGGACACACAGATGTCTTGTGATTCTCCATGCAACCAGGGCGCCGGGCCCTGAACTGGCAAACCGCAGGCACCCAAAGGTCTTTTGGGGTCGGTCCGAGGTGACTCCCAGCAAGACGAAGAAGGACTGGTGCGACCTGGCCATCGTGAATGCTGGCGAGCTTGAGTCTCAGTCTTGGGTTGCCTGATTCTTTGAGGCTACGCTCCTTCGGGTGGCTCAAAAGTCAAGTAACCCTTGGTGATTTGGCTTTTGGGGATTGGGCCTCAGCCTGTTGCAGCATGGGGTTTTGGTGCCACCTGCTCCAAAAGAAACAACACCACCAAACAGGGGATTGGCGAGTCCTCGAAACGCCAAAGGGAAGCCTCATGACAAAATCTTTCGGAGTGCCAGGCGTCACACGACCTTCGGCATGGAGGCACCAGACGTTTTTTCTTGTTGTGGGTGTTTCTGGACGTTTTTGTTGTCGTTTTTCTTCTCCTTTTTTAATATTTTGATTCCGGCAGCTCGTCCCTTTTCGGTCGTGACGCGAGAGAGAGAGCACGAGGCAGTAGTGCTGGGACTTCCTTTCTTCAGGTCTTGGGCTGAGGTGTTTGGGGAGGAGAAGGCCATGCGCCCACCCCTTTTTGGCCCTATGGCCATGAATCTAAATGGGTGGAGATGAAATGTCGCCTAAGTCATGCTCATGAGAGCTAGTAAAATGAATGCCAATCTCGTCTTGGGAGAACAAGTCATTTCAAGGATTTTCCTCTTACACCCTGGGAGTACGCCCTCTGGGACTCACCCTATCTTAGCATATTTCCAAATAACACCCGATTATTTGGTTTATTTGGGACTATGTGGGGAAAGCAAAACGCTAGGGTGGAACCCTAGGGTGTAAGACTGTGGATGGGTGAAATCCTAGCCATGGTTTGCTGCTCCTGCTGCGAAATAGAACAATCCTTAGCCTCACATGCGTCGAGGAAGCCTTGAGCCCAGCCAAGTTCGCTGAGGTCTGCCCAAGTGGTTTTTGACGCGGGCAACCGCGTCGTCGGGGTTGAGCCGGTCAGGCAAGAGCCGCTAATTTTTGCATGCTGCCATCTGCGAGCAAGCTCGCATGCATGGTTTGGTTTTGGTATTTTGCCTTTGGAGCCTGCACATGACATGCTTGATTATCTCCTGCAGGGGGGCGGAGCCCAACTTGGAGGCCCTTCGCTTGCTTCTGACATCAATATGTTGCTTGCCGTTTCCGAGAGCGCCAGGCGGTCTGCGCGGATCCTAAGAATTGGTGCGCCTGCCTCGATGCTGGGTGGTTCCCGGCCGCCCTTTTTTTTTTTGTTGGTTTAGTGGTTGGGCTTCCATCTGTCCTACTCAAAGTGAAGCTTTCGTTAGGGGATCAGCCAACGAACAGCCCAGCTTTCGCGACTTGACAATCTGGTTGGTGGCTTAAAGCATCCAGTCCCCTCGCGCCGGTCTGATGGAAACGATTCAAGCCTTCTTTGGAGGTTGCTGCCCCGGATGCGACACACAACACTCGGAGCCTGAGATTCTGCCTGTACAGGATGTCTTCCATCCTGTGAAGAGCAAGTCTCGAACAGAGCTGGCGGAAGATGTCATTGATCCTTCTATCAATCTGCACGGCTGGACAGTTCGGGAAGGTCACCGACTTGTAATGGTAGAAATCGACAAGGAGGGAGGAGCGCTGGGTATGGCCCTCGAAGAAGCCAGAGACGGAGTGATGGTGAGCAGCATCGAAGATGGGGGCTTGGTGGCGCAGTGGAACCAAGATCACCCCCTCCGTGCTGTCAAGCCTGGCGATGTAATTTTTGAGGTAAACAAGAAGCAGGGTAAGTACAAAGAGTTGCGTGACAAGCTGAAGAAGGAGGAGCGTGTGACAATGATCCTCCGGAGTGACTGACAGTGAATGTGCTGCGAAGAAAATGATTTGCTCCGAGCAAAGCTCGAAGGTTTCACTCTGAAGCATCAGATTTCAAGCTCTGCTTCAGAAAGCTCTTGGACCACTGGCTTTATGTACAGCAAGTAGCCTGACGGCCAAAGGCCGCGTCGGAAAAGCGCGTCGCGATTCGCTGGCTGGCTGGCTTGCACTAAGTTGCGTCTGGCGCTACCAACATCACTTGGCCATGAAGTTTAATGGGACCTCCTAGAAGAGTGGTTGGTGGATATAAATCCCCAGCTGAATGATGTCCACCAGTTCGGGTCCATCCAACTCATCGAATTCCTGCCCGCTTCTGTCTGCGCAGGTGGTCCACGGGCAAGAGGTTCAGCCCAAAGAGGGTGGTGGTGGCCCAGTCCTCAACGACTTGCAGACCTTTGCTTGCTGCGTGGTTTCTCCGAGGCCTTGATGATTGTGAGCATGGTCCCGCCGGCCACATTTCGCTCGCCCTTTGTTGGCTCGTCCTTTTTGGCAGTTGGTCCCCTTCGTTTGGTGGTTTTGAAAGCAAGCCAAAAGGAAGAACAAAGCCATTGTGGGTGCTTGTCTTTGAACTGCTGAAAATGAAACACCAGGGTCTTCCTCTTGAAATTGCTTTGAGACCACTCCAAACATATCCTCCAAAACCTCCGAACCGGCCTTCCGCTTGCCCAAGCCGCCCGCTTGGGCGGCAAGCGGCAAGCGGCAAGCGGCAAGCGGCAAGCGGCAAGCGGCTTGAAAGGTCAGCTCCTACGTCTTCGTGGGCTTCTCTCAGAGCCGCACTGCCGAGCGCCTGCGGGCCTGCGACCCGGGCAGTCGAGCGAAGCCGAAGCAAGCCGAAGCGCCGGGGGAGCGCCAACCAGTCGAGCAAGAGGTGCAGGTGCATTTTTTTCTCCACCGTTTGGGGTGGTTGAGGCTCTGAATCGTTGGCATGTAGTTCGCTGGCTGGGGTCTATGCTGGTGTCGTGTTGTTTTGGGTTTTGTGAAGTTTGCCAACTCAAGTGGCCCGAAATTCCAAGGCTGAGGTGTCGTTGTCTTTGCGGGAAATCCATTTTCCCTCCAGACTCCAGACGCAGCTTTGGCTTTGCGAGGCCCTATTTGAAGGTGTTCTCGGGCCAGGAACGTCCGGCCTCCCAGGCTTCCAGGCTTCCACGCGCGCGGTCAGCTGCTGGTTTTTCAGGGAGCCTTGGTTTGTTTTTCCCCTGAAGACTTCTTCACCAGCCATATTGCTGGTTGGCACTGCCATGTTGCAGAAACTCCGGTGGGGAGCTCCGAAAGGCCTTTTTCTGAGGCAAATTTGCGCATGAAACCTAACTTTTTTTGGGGTCCTGAAGACAATTTTCCTTTTGGGAACCCTCCCGCTTGTGAACAAACTGGTGCTGATCGCTACTCATCTAGTGTTGAGATCGGGATTCGGAGACTTGCCTGCTGCATCCTCTCGTGCACGGCCATGACAATCACGAGGTTTTCGCCTGGTAGTCAAAGACTGCAAGAAGAGAGGCCTGCAAGTGGTCCTCACCGAACTTGAGGGCAAAGCTCGATTCAAAGTCATGAGGGATGTGCTGCTGTTCATTTGGGCACGCAGGCCAAGCACCCAGTTCGTGCAGATGTCGAATCGCAACACTGCCGAGTAACGGGAGCTTCGGCGAGCGTCAAAAGAGAGCTCGGGCTTCCATGATTCAAGCCGGAATCAAACTTGTTTCAGGTGGTTTTGGGGGGACGGTCCCAACGACAGCGTTGCGGCGGCTACAAGCCCTTTTGTTTCTTTACATGGTTGTGGGCTACCTCCTTCAGTTTTTGGTTTTGACTCTGTTTCAAACCAGCAGAAGTTCGAAGCAACAACCTCATGCAAATCCTGCAATCTCAAATCGAAGCCATATGGCTCGGATCACATGGAACCTAAACACAAGACAACTCAGCCTGCGAAGCACCAGATACGACTCAGAGAGCCTATGAAAGTCATCGGAGCATTGCAAGAGGATACATAGGTGCTGCAAGTGTGATCGATACATGCCGGAATCCGAGCTTCCTTCATGGTATGGGCCAAAAACCATAGGTGTCTTTTTGGTTGATTTGGTGTAAAAATAGAGGGCCCTGGTTTACCTGGTGGTTCAATCAACTACCAGGGCCATTATTTTCCCAAAAAGGACCCATGCCAAAAACTAGTCACCAGGAGTTGGGCTGGAGATTTTAGTCAAGGTCATCACGTGTCTCTTTCAGAATGCCGTGAGAGATCATCACGTGTCTCTTTCAGAATGCCGTGAGAGACACTGTTTCACCCAGGAAGAACACGGATTGGGTCGGGGTCCGTCCTCGGGGGGTTTTCGATCTCGCTGGCGAATTTGTGGAGTCCTTGGTCCCAGAAAAACCGCTGGGGGAAACCCAAATGGGTATGGCTCAAAAAAATGGAATTGCAAAATGAAACCCTAAGTGGAAACATGGACCAAAACCTGCGGTTTGCCCCTCCGATCGTTTAATTTTGAGCCACACCCAAATTGTGGTTGCCATAGGTGTCCTTTTTGGTTGTTTTGCTAGAAAAACAGATGGCCCTGGTTTACCTGGTGGTTTAATCATCTACCAGGGCCATCTATTTCCCCTAAAGGACACCTATGGTGGTTGCCCATCTTGGACCCGTCCCGATCCGTCACTCAGGTCGCGCCATGCATTCGGAACCCCATGGCATCAGGCGCGACAAGCGGCTCGCGGTCGCGCGACCTCGCGGTTGTGACCGTTGGAGGGATGTGGCCGGGTTTTTTCTTGAGGCGTACCCTGGACTCTTTGCAGGTTGCATGTTCGGGGGAACCTCGATTTTGACATGCAAAACCGGACTTTGGTGCCCCAAAAGCGAAACAAATCGGTGTCCTCTCCGATTCTCTTCGGCTTTCCTGAAAAGGGCGCCCTCAAATCATGGTTTTGCTTCGGGTGTTTTTTTGCCTTGCGCTTTCGCTTTGAAATCCACCCCAAAGCACGGGTTTTTTACTTCTCAAGATTTTCGAGAAAACGCGCCGCGCCACCGGTTTTAGCCGTGAGGTGTACGGGCGGCCGGTGCACCACGGGAGCACCTCTGGAGAGGTGGGCATGGCGTTTTTTTCTTTTTTTTTCTGTGGGGCTTGGTCAGAATGGGGTGGTCTCTACCCTCCCTCCTTTTTTCACATGGAACCTGACGTTCGGGACCCGGTCCCTTTCAAAGGAAGCTGGTCCAAGCCAGGACCGGTTTTCCTCTTGGTTTTCCGTTAAACCCGTACCCTCACAAAAGGACACACTCAACTAGGGGAACCCCCCAACACGGTGGATCCCTTTCGCTTTCCCTTTTTTCAACCATCCAACAGCCAATTCCCAAAATGACTTCCGACTGGAGTTGGCTTGCAGGGAAACCAGAAGGAGGGTGCTGAAAGAATAGGCTTCCCTGCAGGAAGTTGAAGTGACACACCCGTGGTTCGGCGAGAACAAGGGGTGGACTTCGGCCGGTGGAAAGCCGCGAAGCCCCGGCGATCGATCAGCAAGGCTTACCCCAAGAAGTCGGGGCCTGGCGTCTTCAACGGCGTAGCAGGCGCCAACAGTGAGGAGCAGGGAATATGGGAGCAGCGGACACATACAAATGGGTGCTTCTCAAACACCGGGACCTCTTTTGGTCAGGTTTTTAGGGAAGCCAAAAGGGAACCAAACACCTGGAGGGGTCCCTAGTTTTTGAGAAAGACCTAAATTCAGTGCAGAATTGAGCGGACATTTGCAACGGAGAGAAAGCAGGAGTGTGTTGGCTGCTGCTTTGTTAGGTGATGTGCCACACGAAAAGAGGCTTTGGTACATCCGGCAGCCTGTGGCCTCCTTATCTTTGGACAACGCACTGTGCCTGTGCATTGTCACATTGGCCTTAGGGCGGAGACGTAGCTGGAACTTCCAGCATTCATTGCCGTGGACGTGACAGCGGAGAGCATAGCTTCAAGGCGATACACTCAACCCTGCATGG